GTGGGAGATGATGAGCCCCGTCAGTGATGAGGATGCTCTGAGGGGAAGTAGCAGGTGGGCAACCACAGCTGTGATTTGAATCGGGTGAATTTGATTATCTTCAGCTAGATAATTAAATTAATTAATTTGCTTTTTTCCTATTATTTATGTTTGTCCCAATTATTAAGTGTTTATGTGTTTATAGAGAAGTATTTGAAAAAGTTAGAAAGGCACAAGAAGCAAATGAAAGACAACCGTAATTCTACCAACCAGACACAACCTCCTGTTGACCTTTCATGTTCAGATGATTCACGATATCAAGGAGAATTGCTACTGGAAAAAGTCTACAGATTCAATTATATCGGGATAAAAATCTCATCAATTGTTTGATAGAGACTTGAATATAAAAAGTTAAACTAAAACTTGTGAAAAATGTATTATGTTTATATTAAATTTCACATAAGGTGGTAGAAAGTGCAGCTACATTCTAATTCCTAGAATGAATAAAGATGGGTTCATCGCATTCTTTGGCATAAATGTATAACAGCGTAAGATGACTTTGACTTCACACTGGTGCTGCACATTTTAAGAGTATTGTGCAAAGTATATGAGGCCTTTAAAAGTTTTTCTAAAGCCCCCTCTTAATTCTTTGATATCAAAATTGTTTTCTTTTGCTGCCTATTTTACTGTTATCCTATTTAATTTGTTTTCTCTTCTTCAGGCAAAGGCTTCAGTTCATGTCACTGTTGCATTTCCATCAGTGAGCACTATTTCTTTAGGCAGTTCAATCAGGAGTGGACATCTGGGGGGACTGTAGCAATTTCAGGAGCGAAGGTCCCCATAAGGGCCAAGTTCAAGGTGTACAGTCATGATGTCTGGGTACTGTGGGGCCCCTGGGTTCTGAGGAGTACTTGGACTCCACTTGGCAGCACTGAAGTTGCTGGAAGCAAACCTCCTGTAGAAGCTGCTGGCCAGAGCCGTGTGCTCCATCTCCTGGGTGGAGTTTCCCGTTCAACTCTTCTCTGTCAGGCTTCCATTCTCACGTGGCTGCTCCTTCCTGGCTATTTGTCTGGAAATGTAGATCAACCTGCAAAAGAGCAGATTTCCAAGACATCTCCCCTCAGCAAGGCTTTGCTGATTTTTCTTCTTGCCAGCACCATTTTGCAACTAATGTATATGAACAACCTTAGCTGAATAGTTATTTCTTTTTGAGACAGAGTTTTGCTCTTGTTGGCTAGGCTGGGGTGCAATGGCACACTCTCGGCTCATTGCAAACTTCACCTCCCGGATTCAAGTAATTCTCCTGCCTCAGCCTCCCAAGTGGCTGAGATTACAGACATGGGCCATAACACCCTGCTAATTATTATTATTATTGGTATTTAGTGGAGTCGGGATTTCACCATGTTGATCAGGCTAGTCTCGAACTCCTGACCTCAGGTAACTCACCTGCCTTGGCCTCCCAAAGTGCTGGGGTTACAGGTGTGGGCTACTGCGTTTGGCCTGAATAATTCTTCTCTTAATTGGGATTCAGGGAATGAGAGAAATATTTTTATCTTTTTCATCTAGATAAGAGTTCTCCAGACGTGAGTTCATGAATACATGAAATTCTGTCATATTTGCACAAAGTCACTACAGACTTTGATTTTGTATTCTGGTGGAGAGCCCGGGAAAAAATTCTTTCCATCCTGTTTGAGAACTACTCTGTAATGAGCATTTATTTAATAAGACCTCGGCCTTCCACTAAATGTCATCGTTTGTCTTCTGCATAAAAAACACCATGCTACTCTTCAAAATAAATAAATAAATAAACGAAGCTAAAATTTATATGAAACCCTAAAGGACTTCAAATTACCAAAGCAATCCTGAGGAGTTAAAAAAAAAAAAAAAAAAAAGAAAGCCAGAAGAATCACACTACCTGACTTCACAATATAGTACAAAGTATAGTAACCAAAAACAGCAGGGTCTGGCATAAAAAGAGATACATATACGAATGGGATAAAACAGAGAAACTAGAAATAAATCCGCACATTTACAGCCAACTGCGTTTTGACAAAGGCATGAAGAACACTAATCGGGGAAAGGACAGTGTCTCTAATAGCTAATGTTGGAAAAAGTGAATATCCACTGCAGAAGAATGAAACTAGACCCCTACCTCTTGAAATATACAAAATACAGGGAGAGAGATCCAAGATGGCTGATCGCTAGCAGCTCGGGATTGTAGCTCCCAGTGAAAGCGCAAAGAATGAGAGGACGCCACACCTTCACATGAATTCTTGTTGCTCACGCACCAGGAGATTCCCAGCGGAGGAGCCCCACGGGTCGCCAGCGCGACTCTTGTGACCGGCGAGGTGGTTTTGCCGGCGCCTCGGAGCGTCGGTTCTTGGTGCAGAGTCAGAAAAGCACCATCAATCTTAACGCCGCTGATTTGGTTGGTGCAGTGGGTTGCTCAGATTTCGGCGCTGAGAATCAGTAAGTTGGACGTCCACTCAGAAACCCAATTACAAAGACGGTAAATACAAAGACCACAGATGGATAAATTTATAAGGAAGGGAGGAAAACGGCCAAAAAAGGCTGAGAATGCCCAAGATCAGAACGCCTCTCCCTCAGGGGGGGATCACAGTTCCTCATCAGCAACGGAACAAGGCTTGATGGAGAACGAGTGTATTCCAATTACAGAAGCAGGCTTCAAAATGTGGATAATGAGAAACTTCTGTGAATTAAAAGAACTTGTTTTAACCCAATCTAAAGTAACTAAGAACTTTGAAAAAAGATTTGACGAAATGTTAACAAGAATACACAATTTAGAGAGGAATATAAGTGAATTGATGGAGCTGAAAAACACAATAGGAGAACTTCGTGAAGTATGCACAAGTTTTAACAGCCGAATTGATCAAGCAGAAGAAAGGATATCAGAGGTCGAAGACCAACTCAATGAAATAAAACGAGAAGACAAGATTAGAGAAAAAAGGATACAAAGGAACGAGCAAAGTCTCCAAGAAATATGGGACTATGTGAAAAGACCTAATCTACGCTTGATAGGTGTACCTGAATGTGACGAAGAGAATGAATCCAAGCTGGAAAATACGCTTCAGGACATTATTCAGGAAAATTTTCCCAGCCTAGTAAGGCAAGATAATATTCAACTCCAGGTAATACAGAGAACACCACAGAGATATTCCTCAAGAAGAGCAACTCCAAGGCACATAATCGTCAGATTCACCAGGGTTGAAATGAAGGAGAAAATACTAAGGGCAGCCAGAGAGAAAGGTCAGGTTACCCACAAAGGGAAGCCTATCAGACTTACAGCAGATCTCTCAGCAGAAACCCTACAAGCCAGAAGAGAGTGGGGGCCAATATTCAACATCCTTAAAGAAAAGAACTTTCCACCCAGAATTTCACATCCAGCCAAATTAAGCTTCACAAGTGAAGGAAAAATAAAGTTTTTTGTGAATAAGCAAGCACTCAGAGATTTCATCACCACCATGCCTGCTTTACAAGAGCTTCTGAAAGAACCACTACACATAGAAAGGAACAAACAGTATCAGCCTTTCTAAAAAAATTATCAAAAAGAGCATCAATATAATGAAGAATTTACATCAACTAATGGACAAAATAGCCAGCTAATGGCAGTATTAAACTCACATATATTATTATTAATTCTAAATTTAAATTGACTAAATCCCCCAATCCAAAGACAGGCAATTTGAGTAAAAAACTAAAACCCATCAGTATGCTGCATCCAGACCCATCTCACATTCAAGGATACAGAAACACTCCAAACAAGGGATGGAGAAAGATTTACCAACCAAACAGAGAGCTAAAATAAATAAACAAAAAGCAGAAGTTACAATTAAGCAACAAAGATCAAAAGAAGCAAAGAAGGACATTATATAATGATAAAAGGATCAATGCAACAACAAGAAGAGCTAAAGATCCTAAATATATACGCACCCAATACAGGAATACCCAGACATACAAGACTTATAAAGAGACTTAGACTCCCACATAATAATAGTGGGAGACTTCAACATTAATATTAGACTGATCAATGAGACAGAAAATTAACAACGATATTCAGGACTTGAACTCAGATCTGGAACAAGTAAATGTAATTCACATTTATAGAACTCTCCACTTTAAATATACAAAATATACACTCTTATCAGCACCACATCATATCAACTTAGAAGTTTAAAAGAAATCTTGGTTGGCTCCTTGTTTGTTATTCTCTTCCCTCATTTTCTTTTATGTCTCCATTATTAAGGACAATTATAGGCATACCCGTATTTAGACTGCATTCTAGCCCGGGCAATAAAGCAATACCCCCATTCTCTCTCCCTCTTCCTCTTTCTCTTTCTTCCTCTTCTTTATTCTTTAAAAAAAAAAAAAAGAAATATACAAAATACATCCAAAATAGATTGAAGGCTTAAATGTGAGACCTGAAACTATGAAATTACCAGGAGAAAACATAGGGGAAGGACTTCAGAACATTGATGTTGGCAGAGATTCATGGGAAAGACCTCAAAGGCACAGGCAACAAAGAAAACGATCAACAAAGCAAAGAGACAACCAGCAGAATAGGGGAAAATATTTGCGAACTACTCATCTGACAGGAGATTAATATCCAGAATATATGGAACTCAACAGCCAAAGACAAAATAATCCAGTTTTAGAATGGGTGAAAGATCTGGATAGACATTTTTCAAAAGAAAATGGCCAACTGGTATATGAAAAAACGCTCAACATGACTATTCATCGGGAAAATGCAAATCAAAACCTCAGTGAGATAGAATCTCACTCTGGTTAGAATGGCTGTTACCAAAAAGTCAAAAAATAACATGCTGGTGAGGATACAGAGAAAAGGAAACTCTTATAAGAGTGTATACACTGTTGGTGAGAATGTAAATTGGTACAGGCATTATGGAAGACGGTATGGAGATTCCTCAAAAAACTAAAAATATAACTACCATGTGATCCAGCAATCCCAGTACTGGGTATATAGTTAAAGAAAAGGAGGCTAAATACCCCCAAGCAATACCTGCAACTGAGAATTCTTCCTGGGGAGACCCGCAGCCTGTCATCATGGCTCAAGAGTCTGTGAACTGCAAAATCCAGCCTGGGAAGGTGGTTGTGTTCATCAAGCCCACCTACCCATACTGCAGGAGGACCCAAGAGATCCTCAGTCAACTGCCCCTCAGACAAGGGCTTCTGGACTGTGTCCATATCACAGCCACCAACCACACTAACGAGATTCAAGATTATTTGCAACAGCTCTTGGGAGCAAGAATGGAGCCTCAAGTCTTTATCAGTAAAGATTGCTTAGGCAGACGCAGTGATTTAGTCACTGTGCAACAGAGTGGGGAACTGCCGATGTAGCCAAAGCAGATTGGAGCTCTACAGTAACCACAGGCCCCATGCCGATGTCCCTCCTCAAGAGCTGGATGGCATTGCAAATAGTGACGGCACTTCCCGAGGTGGATGAATTTGGGAGAACGAACAGCGTTTTTCTTCTTTTGACTCAGTATTTAGATGTGGATCAACTTGCTCTTAACCACAAGGCCAAGAGGAAGGTTGACTGGCTGTCTTGGTTTTCTTCTGGATGCGCTGTTTGGTTTTTGGAAGACTGTGACAAGTTCTGGCCTAGGATTTGCTCACTGGCCCTCAATTGTCCTTTCTCTGTTGCACGCTTTTCTTACTGTTCCCTAGTGTTTTTCAACTACGTTTATCCAGACTCCTTCTCCACAATGATGAATCCATAGTTGGTTTTCTGCTACTGCTCGTTAGCTGAAATCATTTTGCTGCTTGACTTTATGGAGTCCGTGTTATGAAATCAGTGGGTATTTTGAATGCGTTTTTTCAAACGACATGAATCTCTCCATTCGACCCCACCCCATCCCATCCTACCTTGAGAATCACTGCTCTGAGCCAGTGTTCTCCAGCTCGTCCTGTCACAGATGTCGTAGGAAACATTTGACAATCCTGTGAAAGGTCTCAGGACCCAATGGGAGAAATCCTATGAAAAGTTAAGCATAGTTAGTCTTTGTGTCACGTGGATCAGAGAGGCACAAGCGCAGACACTGTGGTCATGCGGAACACTCTGTTATTTAAGATGGCCATCCAGATAATCCTGAATACTGTATTTATTTGATTTACAGTACCAGCAAAACAAAAGCAAAAACAAAAACCACACACAAAATGTAAAACATCTGAGAAAACGTACAGCTCCCTACCCCAAGAGTGTATCTGTGGAAGTGCCTCCCCCCAACACTTTGAAAACTTAAGAATCCCTGATGAAGTTTGCCTGTTCTGGAATTGTAAGATTGTTAATTTCCTTCTTCAATCTTTAGTGAGAATGCTTAATTTCTTTCCTTTTCTTTTTCCTTTTTTTTTTTTTTTTTTTTTTTTTTTTTTGAGACAGAGTTTCGCTCTTGTTACCCAGGCTGGAGTGCAATGGCGCCATCTCGGCTCACCGCAACCTCCGCCTCCTGGGTTCAGGCAATTCTCCTGCCTCAGCCTCCTGAGTAGCTGGGATTACAGGCACGTGCCACCATGCCCAGCTGACTTTTTTGTATTTTTGTAGTAGAGATGGGGTTTCACCATGTTGACCAGGATGATCTCGATCTCTTGACCTCGTGATCCACCCGCCTCGGCCTCCCAAAGTGCTGGGATCACAGGCGTGAGCCACCGCGCCCGGCCACTTAATATCTTTTCTAATTAAAAAAAACATTTTTAAAAAAAGAAAATGAAATCGGAATTTCAGAGACAACTGCATTTTCATGTTTATTGGTGCATAATTTACAATAGCCAAGATATGGCCCCACCCTCTGTCTATCAACAGTTAAATGGTTAAAGAAAATTTGCTACATATACACAATGAAATACTATTCAGCCTCAAAAATAAAATAAAATAAAATAAAATAAGAGAACAAAATCCTGTCATTCATGGCAACGTGGACAAGCCTGATGGACATGTTAAGTAAAATATCCAGGCACAAAGACAAATACTGCATATTCTCACTCCTATCTGGAAGCCAAAAAAGTTGATCTCAGGAGGATGGAGAATAGAATAGTGGTTACTAAGAGGCTGAGAAGAGTGGAGGAGATGGGAAGAAATTGCTTAACAGATAGAAAATCACGGCTAGATGGGAGAAATAAGTTATAGTGTTCTATACAGTGTAGGATAACTCTGCTTGACAAGAATTTAGTGTACATTTGCAAACAGCCAGAAGAGCAGATTTTGAATGTTCCCCACACAAAGAAATGATAAATGTTTGAGGTGACAAATATGTGAATTATACTGATTGAATCATTATACATTGTATGCATGCATCGAAATATAACACCATACTTGGTAAGTATATATTATTATATGTCAATTAAAAAAAATTTAAACTAAAAACGATAAATCATAACTAAAACAAAAATAAAAGCAGGGTAGCTCTTTACTGGCATATATGCTTCTTTCACTCCATGTCCTTCATGCTATTTTCTCCTGGTACAAGCTGGCTTCATTCACATTGAATTTTTGTTTTGAAATTTTACTTGTATTTTACCATATTTGTAAAATAAAATTTCTACCGTATTTGACTTGTATTTTGAATTCCGTAAGAAATACTTCAGTAACTTCTGCCAGTGGATCTAGACTGTGAAGATGTTGGGGACAGAAGATGAGCACTGAAGCTCAGGTGGGAGGGGTGAGTGCAGACCGATTTCTTCTTTTTTTTTTAGAGACAGAGTCTTGCTCCATTGCCCAGGTTGGAGTGCTGTGACACGATCTCAGCTCACTGCCATCTCTGCCTCTCAGGTTCAAGCAATTCTCCTGCCTCAGCCTCTTGAGTAGCTGGGACTACAGGGACCTGCTACTACGCTCAGCTAATTTTTGTATTTTTAGTAGAGACGGGGTTTCACCATGTTGGCCAGGCTGGTCTCGAACTCTTGACCTTGTAATCCACCCGCCTCAGCCTCCCAAAGTGCTGGGATTACAGGTGTGAGCCACTGCACTCAGCCAGACTAATTTCAAATGTAGTCAGTTTATTACTTTTTTTCTCACATTGTGATGACTTTTACTTCCCTGCAAATATGGGGCTCTTAATAAATTTATATTCTTCTTTTCCAACATTTTTTCTGTACATGTATCTTTGTAGATTTGGGACCATAGCATATATACATATGCATAGTATATGTGTAAACACTATGACCTACACCTAGTATAGATACATATATGTAATATGACCTCAAATTTGCAAATATACATGTATAGAAAAATACTGGAATAGAAGTACCTAATGAATTAATAAGAAGTACATACAATAGCATAGATATGCTATTAAACATTATATTTGTTATATCTTCCCAACATATTGATGTTTGCATTATTGTGCAATGTCTCTAGAGGTAATTCTTGACTTGAAGTCTATTTTGTCTGATATTGTGATTGCCACTTCAGCTTTGTAATGTTGTTTACATAGCATATCCTTTCTCACCTTTTGACTTTTGACCACTGTGTCCTTTGTATTTAAAGTGTGTGTGTCTCTTGTAGGACTTGAGTTTTAGTTCTGGTTTCTTTGCCTAGTTTGGGAAAATTCTTTGACTTCTCAATGTATTTGTATCGCCATAGATAAATAAAAGATATTGGACTAGATCAGTTCAATCACATATTATCAAGCAGCTGCTCTGTCCTTGGTACTGTGCAAAATGTCTTTAGTACTAGGGGCTTTCACAGTGACTTGTCAATGCCCTTAATTAGTTACAGTTAGAAAATGAACATTTAGTAGGGCTCTGTGCCTGACTTCTATTTAATTAAATTGCCAGATTCACTGTTATTTTCCTTTTTTTTTTTTTTTTTTTTTTTTTGAGACAGAGTTTCACTCTTGTTACCCAGGCTGGAGCGCAAGGGCTCGATCTCGGCTCACCGCAACCTCCGCCTCCTGGGTTCAGGCAATTCTCCTGCCTCAGCCTCCTGAGTAGCTGGGATTACAGGCACGCGCCACCATGCCCAGCTAATTTTTGTATTTTTAGTAGAGATGGGGTTTCACCATGTTGACCAGAATGGTCTCGATCTCTTGACCTCGTGATCCACCCGCCTCGGCCTCCCAAAGTGCTGGGATTACAGGCGTGAGCCACCGCGCCCGGCCTGTGTTTTCCTTTTTCTTGATAAACATACTGAAAATAAGTGGTGGGCAGATTATAAAGGATCTAATATGGTATACCAAGAAGTTTGTACTTTATTATGTATTGTATGAAATAAACCACTTAAAGTTATCAAAAATTAAGTGTGTCTCTTACGGGCTTTGCTGTTTTATCCATTATCGACCATTTGATTGGAATGTTTAGTTTATTTATGTTTAGTATAATTACGGATATGAATGGATTTAGGTATAAAATTTTGTTGCTTTTATTTGTCTTATCTACTTTTTGTTATTCTGGCCCTCCTTTTCTGTCTTCTTTTGGGTTAACTGAATTTTTTTTTTTTTTTCGGTATTCCATTTTAATTCCCCCATAGGCTTTTTAGCTATGCCTCTGTGGGTTTTTTGTTAGCTTGTTTTTTGACAGAGTTTCTCACCTTGGCATCCTTGACATTTTAAACTAGATCATGCCTTACTATGAGGAGCTGTCCCGTGCTCTGGAGGATAGTTAGCACTATTACCGGCTTTTACCCTCTGGATGTTGGTAACAAGCTTTCACCCCTAAATTCCCCACCCCATAGCTGTGACAATGAAAAAAATATCTTCGGATAAATTTATTTATTTATTTAGAGATGGAGTTTTGGATATATTTATTTATTTATAGATGGCGTTTAGGATTATTTATCTATTTATTTATTTGTTTATTTTGAGATGGAGTTTCACTCTTGTTCCCCAGGCTGGAGTGCAATGGCGTGATCTTGGCTCGCTGCAACCTCCGCTCCAGGGTTCAAGCGATTCTCCTGCCTCAATTTCCAGAGTAGCTGGGATTACAGGCATGCACCACCATGCCCCGCTAATTTTAAAATATTTTTGGTAGAGATACGATTTCTCCATGTTGCTCACGCTGATCTCAAACTTCCAACCTCAGGTGATCCATCCTCCTCAGCCTCTCAAAGTGCTGGGAGCCGCCGCACCCAGCCAAGTCTTTGGATAGTTCTGCCAAATGTTGCCCTGGAGAGAAAAATTACCACCAGATGAGAACAATGCCTGAGGATTACAGCATGCATCTTTAGTTTACCATAGTCTACTCAGGTCAATATTGTTCTCCTTCACATAAAATAAAGGCATATAGCTCAATATACACCTTCTGTAAATTGCGTTGTTAGCATATACGTAATATCTACCAGTTCTAAACATCACAATGCTCTGATAAAACTTTACTTCAAACATGTCTTTTAAAGAAATTAATAAAATAAAAAAGAATTCCAAACCTCTGTGTCTCCTTGACAGAGATACTGTGTTTGACCAAACTCTAGATAAGCTCCTCTGAGTTCTTTTTGGACTAAGATCCTTCCTTGGGACTTGTTCTCAAGGGCCCAGTTACAGCACGAGTCTTAAGTCGCTCTACTGTCAAATTCCTTTCTCCACCAATTTCCCGGTGACCTCTGATCACCCTGGCCTGCCTTCAGCAAGGGTCCTGACAAACCTCTGTAACCAGGATCTCCTTGCCCCTGATGCTGCTTCTTAACACTTTTCCACCCACTGACCTCCACCCTGCTCCTTGGCTATGTAAACCAATAGGTATCAGAGACAAGGCTCGAGCAATTTAAAAGTGTATGCTGTCAAGTTTAAAGACATGCTTGTGAAACAACCTTGGGAGGTCCTGACGGCAGGTGCCAAGGTAGTTGGGCTAAAGCTTGGTCGATACATTTTATGGAGACAGAAGACATCAGTCAATACATGGAAAATGTATGCTGGTTCTGTCTGGAAAGGCAGGACAACTTTAAGCGGGGAATGGGGTCCCTTCTAGGTCATAGGTAGATTCAAAGAACGTTTCCTGATTGGCGATTCATTGAAACAGTGTATCTAAAGACCTGGAGTGTCTGGATTAAGAGAAGGGATGTAGAAACCAAGGTCCTTATTATGCAGGTGAAGGATTCTGGTAGCAGGCTTCAGAGAATATATTACCAGTGTTTCTTATCAGACTAAAAAAGCTGCCAGACTCTTTGTTAATTC